ATATATATATATATATATATATATATATATATATATATATATATTACTAGTAGTTTTAAAATGATTGTAATTTTGCCATTTTAAACTGAAAATAATAGATGAAACTTTAAAGTTTAATAATAAGATTTAGACCAAATTCTTGAGATAATGGTTTTACCATTTTAAAAATAGGATGAAAAATAATTTATTAGGAATTCTTATTCATTTACTTTTCACATGGTTCAATCACATTACTCATGGTGTGTGCAAAGGTTTTGTATTATATACAGGTTTTGACTTGCAGTGAGGGAACTAACAGGGTCAGGTCAAAAAGTGAACAAATGGACAAGTATACTTCTGGACCTGGGCACCAGTGACCCCTGCGACCCGAAATGGAAGAAGCGAGTAAAGATGATGGATGGATGGATAAACATAATTTTCTCTGCTGAATGATTTTTGCTAAGAAGCTGCAACCAGGTTGAAAAGGTTTGCCACTAAATGTTAATGTGGTTGGATTTGAGCAGCTGATGTTAAAAGCAGAATGAAATAATATTTAAAAATCAATTAAAGCAGAAAACAGTAGAAAAACAGAAGCAATGTGTAGGAAAAGCTGAACAATGCAAAAATGTAGCAGAAATCAGCTAAATAAGCTGAAATAGGCAGAGAGAGGCTGAGTAGAACTCAGAAATTAGGATAAAAAGAAACTGAATTGAACAGATAAAAGCTGAAATTAGCAGAAGGAGAGGCTGAAAGAAGCATGAAAAGTTGAAATTATTAGAAAAAAGTACAAAAGATGGCAACTGGCAAAAATGAAAAAGCTAAAATTAGCTTAAAAATACCTAAAACGTAGCCGAAAAAGGTTGAAATTAGCAAACAGAAGGTGAAATCAGCTGAAGGAAGGAAGTTGAAATTAGCACAAAGAAGCTGAAAAGAGCTGAACCAGAACAAAAGCTGAAAAGAACTGAAAAAGTTTTTAAACACCACAAAAGGTTTGAAGGGTGTAAAAAGAACTCCATTCAATTTTTATGAGTAAATTATGTCCAAAAAAGTTAAATATTTCAAAAAGTACAAATTTCACAAATACCATAAGTCACAGCAGGAACGTCCTGAATGAGTTTTGAATATGAATTGTTGAAATGGCACAAAACTTGCGGAATGACTTCTGTGCCGAAAAACGTACAGACGAAAAAAACAATTTTCATAGTGTGAATGATTTAGAAACATTCACACTATTAAAAATCAGGTCAAAATCAATTATTATCTAGAAGAAAACGGTCTAAAATCACCTCTAAGGCTGGATCTGGGAGCTGGTTCATCGATCTCAGAGCAAATATGTTTAATTTGTGCACATTTTTTAAAAATAGTTTTAGCATTGCAGAGCTTTTTATTTATTAAATGTTCTGAGCTCTGAATTATCTCTGTTTTCTCCTCAGCTTTATAAGCACTGCCATGAGAAGAGGACGTAGGGCCGATCCATTCCAAGCTGCAGCGTTTGTGGATTTGCTAACTGTTGGATCTAAAGGTGCAGTGAGGGATGTCTGTTTGACAGACTCAGTGCAAAAGGGCTGAACAGACACTAGAGTGTGCTTTTGTGTTGTGCAACGGCACCGTCTCGTCTGGACCATGTGGCTGGCTACGTTTAGCGTCCATCTGTTGCCTGCACACCTGCTACACCAGCGAGGGACTCCCACCATCACTCACTGTGCTCTCCTCTGGTGGATGTTATGTTCCTGCTGCTCACTCACCAAAGCAACAAGCCAGAAATTCTACCCAACTGTGACCACCCAGTTCGGGAAACTGCGGGGCCTTAGGGTCCCCGTCCCCAGTGAGGTCCTCAGACCTGTGGATCAGTACCTCGGGGTCCCTTACGCTGCCCCACCTGTGGGGGAAAAGCGTTTCATGCCCCCTGATCAACCCTCCCCTTGGTCAGGAGTCAGGAACGCCACGCACTTCATGCCCGTGTGCCCCCAGAACATCCACAACACGGTGCCAGAGATCATGATGCCCATATGGTTCACGTACAACCTGGACACAGTGGCCACGTACATCCAAGATCAGAGCGAGGACTGCTTGTATCTGAACATCTACTCTCCGACAGAAGACGGTGAGTTGGTTTGGTCAAATGCTCAGCTGTGACTTTAGGTGTGGGCTGCTCACTGCTGCTGCTGCTGCTGGCTGAGGCCTTCATTGTCCTGTGATCATCATGAGCTCATGTCATCAAAGGCTGATGTATCACCCAAAGTGTCATTTTCTGCAGAAGACTATACAACTTATCTAATTAAAAGGCCTAGCGTCGCTTTAAGATCTCGCTCGCCATCTTTGATGCCAGACTTTTACAGATCATCTTATATTGGGAAATGAAGGCGTTATAGATGTTCTGGTCAAACTATCTGCTGTGTTTTAAGACAACATGTCCACACCTTCTCTCCTTGTTGGGAATTGAAGCCAGCAAGGTCTGGTTCAGGTTGTTTATTTTTGGAACCAGAGTCTGCTCACTAGGGTTGTGACGTTTTAAGTCCTGCCTAGTCTCCCACATATAATGGTATTGCATGGCCTTTCTTTTTAGTTTAAAATAACTAATTACAGCTAACTTTCTAAAATATTGAGTATTAAAACATACATACACTTCAGCATGGGCGGCTGTGGCTGAGTGGTTAGAGCAGTCGTCCTCCAATGCAAGTGTTGGGGGTTTGACTCCACCAGCCGCCACATGCCGAAGTGTCCCTGGGCAAGACGCTGAACACCTCATAGCCTCTGATGTGTGTTCCATCGGTGTATGAATGTGATAAAGCTCTGATTAGTCTCTTTAGAATGATTTGTTCAATTAACTTTGTATAGATCTAGTAGAGTGCTGTATGAATGGGTAAATGAGGCACAGATTGTGGTGTAAAGAGCTTTGAGTATCTTGATCAGATAGAAAGGTGCTATATACAGTAAGTACAGTCTATTTACCATTTACATATGCAAGGTAAGAACTACATGAATTAAAAAAGTCAAAACCTTAATTTTACAAGGGCAAAGCCCTGTTGGTTTACATAGAGGGGGCTGAAACCAGCCTATGATGATACTGTTCCCCTTCTGGCTTCAACTTCTGGGTTACTGTAGGATGTCTAGATTTTTATAATCCATGGGTCAAACCTTGAAAGTAACTTTATTGGAGATCTCATACAAGACGTTAATACGCAATGTGTTGTGAATGATCTTCAGCTACTACCAGGTCAACTATTAGCTCAATATCTGTAAATTTCAATGAGATTGCAATTTTTGTTGCTATTTTATTGTTTCATTAAAATCTACCCACTAGTCTGTGAGACATTTTGCTAACACGACAGACACATGCATATCTTTTGCTGCCGGGCAATAATAAATCCTATATATTAGCTGCCAACAAAGTGGATGTCTAGCTAAACTAAGCAGTCACTCTCAGTTTGTAAAATGGTAAAAACAGCCTCGGCATCAAGGGGAACTGTGAGGTTTACTTAGAAGAAAGATAAAAATGTCAAATTTCCATATTTTGGAAAAAAAAATTGGTCCATATTAGTGAATCACCGCTCTGCTCGGACAGCGTGTCTGTCGGGGGCCAATTAAGGAGGTGCGAGAGTCAACTGTCTATCGCCTGCTGAGTCCTTTCCTATTTCTGAACTGCGGAACGAAGCGGCGAGGGAACACTTTGTGTGTCTGCTGTGAACCTGTCCATTAGCGGATGAACGTAATGGCGCACTAATTGTGTATGTTTTTGGAATCACGTGACGGCTAACAGATTTCTCGGGCTCCTGACGCTTCAGCCTAATTAAACGTGGTTCCTGGGAGCGTACGGCCTCCTGCACGGTGGCACTCGGTATAAAGCATTCAGAGCTGAACCGTGTTCTGCTTGTGTGTGTAGCGCACCGCTCTTTCAGACGGTTGTTGTTTTGTTTTTTTTCCCCTATGGTAACTTAGCAACAGCAGATAAACAGCCTGCACGAAAGGTACATGTCCAAAATGGTGCAGCCCACATTTTCTAAAGCCCCCGCGCCTGAGTGCTCCCTATAGGCCTGCTCACCTGGCACTTTAAAAACGGCTATTAAACAGTTTCCCTCAAATGGTTTTGACTGTCCGAGCTCCAGTTGTTCCATAGATTTTAGAATATTCTTCATGGGTTATTTATTAAATATATTCTTGAACTTTTTTCTTCTTCTTTTTGTCATTTTGGTTAGATTAAAGACAACCCAGTCCACTCTATCTTGCCCTTTTGAATTTTGTTCTTCTTTTTGTTTCTGTCTATTTGACTCCCAGGGGGCCAAAACAAGAAAAAGGGGGCGCCTTTCTCACAAGCTGAGACTCATGTATCTGAAGGTATTTTTGTTTTCTCCCTAAAAACTCAGTTTCAATGCATGGATTATTTTTGTTTCATGGAAGTGGTTCGGTACTTTTTGATTTTCTAAAAAAAAAAATTTGGCTTTTCTTCTTTTTTTGAGTGGAATAATAAGAAATGATGACATAAGGGTTTTGTTCGTCCATTTTACATCTTGAACTGCTGCATCCTCTTCAGTAAGTGCAACACTTCTGCTGTCACGCACATTGATCCAGAGAATGCATTATCTATTTGTCTGTCCTAATGCAAAGAAATGCATTTGTCAATATGCTAAATAATACTTTGAGTTTTTTACTCTTTCTCCTAGGTTTCATATATCAGGTAAAGAGGAGTTTGCTGTAATGTGATCCAGCTCAGTTCAAATATACAGTAAACAAGTCATGTTTTATGCTAGTACACGCTGAACTTTACATTTATCAGAATCAGAATCAGAATCAGAATGCCTTTATTGTCATTATACGCAGTACAATGAAATTAAGAGCCACTCCTTTTTTCCAGTGCAAAAACACGCCTTAAGAAAACACACATTAAACACACTAAAAATATAAAAAATGTAACGCAATATAGATATAATAATGAAAGTTAAAAAAAAAAAAAAAAAAAAAAAAAATACAAGTATTACACAATTGTATTGCACATTATGGATATTAGTGAGGTAGTTAAGGTGACAGAGTATGAAATGTCAGTAGTATTGCACAGTAGAAGTCCAGGTGTTTGGGAGGTTAGATTATTAAATCAGTGCATGTGTGAGTTCAGTGTGGTGATGGCTTTCGGGAAAAAACTGTTCTTGAACCATTTACTGCTCAATATTTAATTTACAGGGATAATGCAGGAATAGGAATGAACAATTAGGATATTACCTGTTGTAGATAGCTCTTTGAGTGACCTCAAGGCCAAGAGCAAAGTGGATTATCATTCTAAAACAGGGGTCACCAACCTTTTGGAGACTGAGAGCTACTTCAGGGGTACAGAGCAACACAAAGGGCTACTTTGTTTGATACAAACATATAATTATCAATAATAATTTACAATGGAGAGGCATGGTGGCTCAGTTGGTAGAGCTGTTGCCTCTCAGTGAGAAGGTCACTGGTTCAAATCTCAGCCAAGGGACTTTCTGGGTGGAGTTAGCATGTTTTCTCCGTGCATGCGTGGGTTTTTTCCAGTTTTCTCCCACAGACCAAAAACATGCATGTTAGGCTGATTGGTAACTCTAAATTGTCCCTAGGTGTGAGTGAGAGAGTGAATGGTTGTTTGTCTCGTTTGTCTCTATGTGTCCCTGTGATGGACTTGCGACCCGTCCAGGGTGTACCCCGCCCCTCGCACAGTGATTGCTGGACATGGGCACCAGTGACCCCCGTGACCCAAAATGGAATAAGCGGGTAAAGATAATGGATGGATGGATGGATGGATGGATGGATGGATGGATGGATGGATGGATGGATGGATGGATGGATGGATGGATGGAGGGATGGATGGATGGATGGATGGATGGATGGATGGATGGATGGATGGATGGATGGATGGATGGATGGATGGATGGATGGATGTTTTTCTGACTTTTTCTCTCCACTATGGGAGGAAAACCGCTTGTAGCTGCACCGCTCAGGGATCGAGGTGCGTCTGAGCAGGATTCTGAACGTTGACCCAGACAAAGCTGCTAATAAGTTAAACGATTTATTTTAAACATTTCTATTAATTGTTTTCATTTAAAATCATGCAATTCGTCCATCCATCCATTATCTTTTTAGCCACTTCTTCCTTTTTGGGTCGCGTGGGTCACTGGTATCCAGCACCAGCAGTCACTGTGCGAGAGGTGGGGGACACCGTGGACAGGTCTCCAGTCCATCACAGGGACACATTGAGACAAACGAGACAAACAACCATTCACTCTCTCACTCACACCTAGGAACAATTTAGAGTTACCAATCAGTCTAACATGCATGTTTTTGGTCTGTGGGAGGAAACTGGAATACCCGGAGAAAACCCACGCATGCACGGAGAGAACATGCAAACTCCACCCAGAATGGCCCCCAGGCTGGGATGTGATACGACGACTTTCTTACTGAGAGGCGGCGACTCTACCAACTGTGCCACTGTGCCGCCCCATTCATGCAATCATTTATTTAATTTAAAAACGTTTAGTTACTGACTGTATTTTTTTCTCTTTATTCCTTATTTTAATGATGAGTGCTGTTTTTAGAACATGTGATTCACAAGGTCCCTGCGGGTGACCGGGTGCTTGCGGGCACCGTGTTGGTAACCCCTGTTCTAAAACAACTAGAACTTATAAACCTTCTCATTGCTGTCAGTTTTGTATTGCATTGTTATTCCTGCAGAAATGTTGTGATATTCCTACAGGAGGTGTTCCAGGCTGCACAGGAAGTGCTATAGCTGCCGTTGCTGCTTTGGTAAAACAAACCACAGAAATCAACAAAGTCCATGCTCAATAATCCAAGTATACAATCCAACATTTTTCAGTCAGGTCATCTGTACAGTTTCTTTTTTTGTTTTTTGTGCTTAAATGTTTTGCCTTCAATCCAGAAGGCTTCATCAGTCAAGGAAACACACAACACAAAACTGATTCTTCCCCCAACAGCTTACTCCAAAGTGGAACAAACCAGTTCTGCTTGTGATAAGATGGTCTCTTTGGTACGCTCCTCCTCCATTGTCTTGTCAAACTGGTTGAAAACAACAAAGTCCATGCTCAATAATCCAGGTATACAATCCAACATTTTTCAGTCAGGTTATTTGGACAGTTTCTTTATTTTTGTGCTGAAACGTTTCAGCACAAAAATAAAGAAACTGTCCAGATGACCTGACTGAAAAATGTTGGAAACCACATAAATCTAACTGTGAAATACCACTAGCTCATCAACTGAGCGAGCTAAACTCCATTTCTTTATTTCCGTTACTGAGGTCATTCTAAGAGCTATCTACAGCAGGTGGGATATTAACTGTTCACAACCTTTCTATAGAACCCCACTTCAAAAGATCTGAACTCTTGATTTAAACTTTTCTCTCGTTCCATCATATCCAGAGACCTTTAGATTTAATGTGGATAAACAAAAGTTCTCGGCGTGACACGTCCATGCACCATGAAACTCTTGATTATATTCATAACTCTTGTCAAAGTGTTTTCCATGCATGTTGGATTGCCATTGCAGCTTTTAAACCACGGGCCTTCCACCCTGGCTTGCTTCCAAGCACATTTCCTACGCGGTCTACCTCTCATACTTCATCTTGAGCAACCGTGATAGAAGTTTAACAGTCTTGTATCAGTCCTTCACTACTGTCGTCCCTGCAGTTGTTTGCTCAAGCTCCATATGTGTGTGTGTGTGTGTGTGTAATGCTGCAGATATAAGGGACTCTGAAGCCCGACCAGTGATGGTTTACATCCACGGAGGTTCCTACATGGAGGGAACCGGGAACATGATGGATGGCAGCATTCTGGCCAGCTACGGGAACGTCGTGGTCGTCACGCTCAACTACAGAATCGGGATATTAGGTGAAGATACAGTCTGTGTGGTGACTTTTAAAAAGGGAAAGTTTGGTCTTGTTTAATCTAGGAGGAAAAAAAACTGTCAAAATGGGTTTAACTTTTATTGTTACAGGAAGAAGAAGTGGAGATAAAATGTCTGAATGCATTCTAGTTACCTTAGATCTTGGTAGCATGACGCTTTCTGTTACATTTTCCGGACGCAGCTATGCAAATTCTTATCAAGCCTTGCCCTTGTTGCACAAACTCATTGTTCTACCCAATTTATCTTCCTCTAGATGGATTTATCTAATCTGCACAAGATTATCATTCTTTGCCATTCAAGAAAACAAAATGATTTAACTACAGCCCAGAAAGGCTGCAGCATTCACAAGGTCAATGTTTGTTGTTTACACTGTTTAACATTCAGAGATCCCTATAGATGAAACCAGTCAGATGAATAAGTTATGAGAGAAAGGTGCATGAGCACCTGTGACCTCTGCGTGGTTTGATAAAAGAAATTTATTTGCTCACGTTAAATGTTATAAAGTTGCTTCAGGGTGACGACTTGAGGTTTGATGAGTTGAGCCAAACCACTTCCTGCAAGGAGTTGACTAAAAAAGCCTGTTTACACCTGAGGGGAACTGGTTCCAGTTTATTCAGATGTCCTCCCAAGGGCCACATCCTCTGTTCAAAGTTTGGTTTTAGCTCCGTTTTCTCTCCGTTTACACCAGGCTTCCTGAGTACTGGCGACCAGGCAGCTAAAGGAAACTACGGACTGCTGGATCAGATTCAAGCTCTACGCTGGATAAGTAAAAACATCGGTTACTTTGGAGGAGACCCAGGCCGCATCACAGTGTTCGGATCTGGAATCGGTGCTTCGTGTGTCAGTCTGCTAACACTGTCCCACCACTCGGAGGGTAAGAACAAGTACTCTGCTGGTTGAGTCATCTCTTTCTGCCCGTGTCCAATAATTGAAAAGCTTATGTGTCTGTGTCTGAATCCTACGATGGAGGACTGCGCCCACTCAGAGGACAAATCATTGAGGGGGAACATGTTTTTCTTTGTGACAGAACTTTGAGATTAAGTAAAAAAAATGTTGAGAGGAAATAAAAGTCAAAATAGCCTTTCAAAAGACTGAAGCAAACCTCACTGTTCTCCCAAACTGGACTGTGTCCGTTCTGATTTTTATCTGAAGCTGAGAGTTCTAGGTGCACTTCTACTGGTTAAACATCAACATAACATATAGCATTTATATATATATATATATATAAATGCTA